GGACTTCAACTCCCAGAATTCCTCCTCTCACTCTTCATCTTGATGATGTGCGGACAGGCGGGGGGAGGGAGCTGGAACCGGTTCTAAACGGTACTGTAGATTTGTGGAACCTCTTCTATAGAAGAGGTTAGAACTGGCAGGAATCCACCCCTGCCACACTGGCTCTCAAAGCTTAAGTATTGCCACAAACCAAACCGTGTGGTTATTTGTTATGTATTAGCAGCATGCTTGGCTTCTGGTGGCTTTCTGAATACGTTCATGGAGGGTTTTTTTTAGCAAAAATTCTGCCTTATTCTGGGATGTTATTTGACTTCTTAGTTTATAGCTATAGACTGAAATACTAACAGGCCCAACCTTATTTAGCTTTATAGCCCTGACATTGGCCTCGGTAGCCTTAGTTGCTGGCCTTCAACTCCTTTTGAAAGTGAAGGATGATTAGTAATCTCTGACCTTGGTTGTTTTCTTGCAGATGTTTCATTACCCAAACTAGGTAACCTCATCGGTATAAGTCACTAGCACCCTGAGCTATAAATATTTATTGGTACATTTTAGAACTCTTTGTAACCTCAGAAATAATTGACTATGGTAGACTTCTGAACAATATGCAACATAATAATTTCATTCCTTTTTAAGTAGAAGTGCCAGTTTTGTGTACTGGACATGGTGGCATGGTAGTTACTCCTTTGTGGTTTCTGCAAAGCCCCCCCCTCCACTGCTGCTTATGATTTGCCTGAAGCCACTACAGAGATCATCTGTTGGTTTGGGACACGCTATCTTCACCAACAATAATGGCTATCCCAGGCCCAAGTGGAGATGTCATCAAAATTCTGGCTGAGTTTAGAGTGGTTGATGGGCCCCTTGTATGGTGGTTTGGCCTAGTCAACCAAAGTTGTTGAACATTTTTTGTCTTTTTAAGAATTTTGTGGTTGCTTTTTTTGTCCTACCCTGTCAGCTGCCCAAAGTCACAATAAATTGGAGCATGGTAAAAATTCCCTAAATACATATTCAAGAGCCATGATAGAGCAATGGTTAGAATGCCGTTTTGCAGGCAAACTCGGCTGACAGCCAGGAGTTTCATCCTGGCTGGGTCAAGGTTGACTCAGCCTTCCATCCTTCTGAAGTAGGTAAAATGAGGACCCAGATGGTTGGGGGCAATAGGCTGACTCTGTAAACCTCTTAGAGAGGGCTGTAAAGCACTGTGAAGTGGTATATAAGTAAGTGCTACCGCTACTCAAGAGTTTACCTCCTAAAAGTACTTCTTTTCATATTCCATGTCTATCATTTAGGCTGAGTGGTGGATTGAGAGCTGCAGAGTGGTATATAAGTCTAAGTGCTATTGCTATTCTATTTTAGCAAATGTTTTGTTATTTCATACTCCTATTTGTAAACAGATTCAGCAATGTCTTTGCCTTTTTTTCTAACTTCATTTGCCTCTGTTAGAGCCTTTCTATGATTATTTTGAGAAGGGATATGCAAATATTCTGTACATAAAGCAATGTGAGACATTACAAAGTTGGCTTAGCGTCAAACCTCTTCTGATTGGGAGGATTTATTGCAGAAAAGCACCAAATTGCCACATCCCCAAATGATTATTTATTTATTTATTTATTTATTTATTTATTATTTATTTATTTATTTATTTATTTATTTATTTATTTATTTATTTATTTATTTAT